ATGCAAGGACGAAGCATATTGATGTTCGGTATCATTTCGTACGAGAAATCATAGAAGAAGGAGAAGTCACATTGAAGAAAATTCATACTACGGAGAATCCTGCTGATATGCTAACTAAGGTGGTGACTGCGATCAAGTTTCAACATTGTTTGGATTTGATCAACATTGTTGAACACTAAAGATTGAAGATGAAGACACAACCAAAATTTGTTATTGAGAGAAAATTGAAGATGTGGAATTTTGCCAAGGTGGAGATTTGTTAAGTTTGGCAGAAATCTTTTGTCCCACATCAGTGGGAAAAGAATGGTTGGGGAGATTTTCCTCCTATAAAAGAAGGCTTAATGTTTAGGATTTAAACACACCTCTCATTTGCCTTCTCATCTGTTTAAGGCATTTGTATCTTCTCTCTTTAGTATTATTTCACTTGTATTTTTGGAGTGAAATAAAATATTGGTTGTGTCCGAGGAGTAGGCAAAATTAGCCGAACCTCGTAAATTCTAGTGTTCCATTTATTGTTGCTTTATTGTCTTATTTATTATTTGGTGGCTGTCATAATTTTTGGTATAGTAGTTGTGACTTATTCACACTATATACATTTAGCTTCCGCAACATATAATGCCACCAATAAAAAGAAACAACAAAGGAACTAAAGCAATAACAATTTAAGTTGATGCAGCAAGCTCTTTAATTATTTGGCAGATCCAAATGCTAGTAGCTGCAGCTCTTGCTCAAACACTAACATATTGTCTTCATCTTTCAAGTATACCCATGCGTCTACTCCGCCACTATCTCTTGAATCCATCAATACAACAGTACCTATGCCAAAATCTCGAATTAGACTTACCCATGAAGGTTTTCCCCAGCCAAAATCAACATCGTAAAATTGGTAGCTACACAAACTAATAATATGTGTATCTATCTCGCCTCGGAAACGTGCTGCAAAGAACTCTGCGGTGTCATAGGGAATAGCCAATATTGCCTCATCTCGACTCTGTTTATAATCCATATATTTGGAACTTATTTCTGATAATGCTTTTCTTATACAAGCGACCAAAGTGGGCAAGTCAGAGACATCATTCTCGCCTTTACGTGCTGTGGCAGGTGTAACAACGTTTCCTACACAATGGTTTGGTAATGGAGGGACAAGACGCTTTCGTATATTTACATTGTGCCCCAATTTAGATAACCTTGTCTCATTCCCTGAAGCAACCATGGCACATTTCCATATCACAGCTGATACAACTTCAACGCGAGTAGGCATTTGTACAGAATCACTGACAGCCTTAGCCTTGAGGGATGTTATAGTAGAAGCATCAAAGGCAATAAATTTAGCGACAAGTTTCTTATCAAAAAGAATTTTGCGTACGTCAAAGTTGATAGGCTTGGGTTGAACATGGGGAATTGGTGGTGGCAAGAATTTTGCAGCTGCAACGAATTCTGGCACAACGACTTCAATGTTACCTCGAGCAATTGTTGACCAGGCATTGATGAGAGTGCACAATGTGGCACAATCAGCAACTTTGTGAGAAGCACGTATACCAATAGCCATACCTCCGCACTCAAAAATAGTGACTTGAACAAGTAGGGGATATAAGGCTGAATCAGGCATCAATGATCCCTCTTCAACAGTAGTTGGGAGGAACTTTTGGTTGACATATGCAGGCTTTCTAAGAACATCTTCCAACCGATAGTTATGAGCAAAAGCCTCGTAAAAGGGTACTCCATCGTCGTTGCATTCAACTGAGTTATCCTTAATTCGGCCAGCAAAAGGGTAAAACCGAGCAAGAATTTCAGACAAAGATTTCTTCAAAAGGAGTAATCTTGATGATTCGCTGCCATCTAAGGGAGTAGGATAGAACAGAGCTAAGGGAACAGACATGTCTACAGCCATTTGGTCCAGAAGAGAAAATTCGAAGCATCTAAGGTGATTGGGAGTAGGAGAAAGAGGTCTAATGAGCTCCACGGAAACTATCTCAATGTTTCTTTCCATGGCTAATTACTTTTGTCTGTTAGGTTGTTGCACTCAATTATGCAAACATTAAGTACTTTCATCTGCTTATATATTATAGTGATCTATCAAGTGTTTGTTTTTCTCTATATTAGTCTACGGGAGATGGGGTACCATTATGATTTTAATAATAAATCAAAACTGAGAATCATGTGGTATCAATATATCGTTGACTCAAAGTTATTGAAACTATCTCGATCTGTATCCGCTTTCATAATTTGAAGCATGGGCCAACTGGAATGGAATTTTCTCCCTGCTTACTTACAGATTTCAAACTATTAATCAAATCATTTGCAAACCGATCTCCAGCTCAAAAAGATTATGTGAATCTTCTTCGTTACGGTATGCACACGTACACTTGAATAATTAAACATGGGTAGATGAATAGTTTTCCCAATATTTCAATTTTTCACTTCTTACTCCTTCATTAGATAACGTATAAAAAATTTATTCTCCCTTTCTTAATTTGTCCAAATCAATCTTTCTTTTCCCGATCTCTTCGTATTTCAAAAACCTCTATATATTTTTTGTCTCTCTTTAATATTCTTATTCACCTTCTTTCTCCAAGAAATTTAAGCTTCCAATAGTTATATACTTTTATTGTTCTATAAAATCTTATCAAAAATTAATAATATCTCAAGAAAGATCAAATTAGTTGGCTATATTATCAATTGAAAATGACTTATTAGGGAAAATCGACTATAAAAAGGATTATTAACACTTTGTACTCAGAAAGCTAGAAAAATAGACTTTAAATAAAACCATATCGTATAACTTTCTTTTAAAAATTTAGGTCTCATATTAAATTTTGGCTTTAGGCCCCGCATATATTTGAGCCGCCCCTGCTCTGGACGTTTTCAGAAAGAGCTGTGTCCTATGGATATATGTATATAAATATAAAGTGAGAGATATGAAATATACGTTGATTAAATAATCAGCATAGAAGTATAAGATTTAATTAATATTCTGCTGATGGATTAACCAACAATCTGATCTGTAGATTTAGATATGCTATTTATTTAATTTATCTTTCGTGACGGCATTTAATTCACATCAGCTTCTAGCATTCTCTTTGTCATTCTTATTTACTCTGATTATTTTAGAAGAAGCTCTTGGCGACTTCTCCACAACCTGAAGATAAAATATGTATATTTCTGTGAGTGTTTTATCAAAAAAGAGCAAAACTGGAAGTGAGACGTGTAGAGAACTTAATCGTTGACTCAAAATTATTGAAATTGTCTCGATCTGGAATGGAATTTTCTCCCCGATTACTTAAAGATATCAATCTATTAATAAAAAAAAATTAATAATTTCCAACTCAAAAAGATTACATGAATCTTCTTCGTTTCGGTATGCACACACTTGAATAATTAACAATGGATTAACAGATCGCATATCTCCAGTAGAGGTTCCAAATAGAGTAATAAGCACGACATTAGAGCAAATATTTTGATGAATTCCTATTCATCAGAATACGCAATCCAGCCGTAGATAGCACATACTCTATAAAGTTTGAGTTGTCATTTAAAATAAGAAATGAAAATCACACGGTAACAGGAACATGTATCTCCCGTTGACTACAAGTTAATAATAGTGGGAGGCTGGGTATTACAGAGACGGATCCAGGATTTAAATTTGATGGGTTCAACCTTTAAGATTTTTAGCATTTAATCCATTATATTTTTAAAGTTATGAGTTCATATCTTCTATTTGTTGCAACTGTAATGAATTTTTTACATAAATTTGTACTCTGGGGCAAAAGTACTGTGATCAATTAAATCCGGTATCGAAGGACTGGATCCGCCCCTGCTGGAAAACTACACGGGGTATCTTCAAAACCACGTAATTAATAAAGCCATGATCAGTTCAGTTCTTAAATGATTTGTATTGATTTGACCATCGTAGAAGCTGACAACCAATTTTGCGTTGCTGTTTCTAAAGACGCCGTAGATACCTTCTTTGTCTTTTCACGAAGCTCAATTGATATTAAGCATTTAAGCTTATAATTAATGGCCTATGTGGAGGGAATGCCATTTGATGTGAATGGTTTGAGAAGGATATTTAACGATTTAAATTGATTAATCAAATAATTTAATTTGTAATCTCCAGCTCAAAAAGATTATGTGAATCCTTTTCATTTCGCGTCTTAGAGTTTGCAGATCTCAAGGAGATGCCCTGCAGGTTCCAATAATAGCACAAATATGGAGTGACGAATCCCTATTCATAAGAACTAGTATACGTACCCGCGCGATGCGCGGATTATTGTAGTAGAAATGATATAGTAGAAACAGGTCTTTATTGTAGACTAAATTTAGCGATCACATTCAAAAGAATTAAATCAAAAAGCAAATATATGAATTTCATAGGACTGTATCTATGCTAGGGACCACCAATATTTATGCACGGAAACATGATTAGCAGAGAAGGTTGGGTAACTGTAATAAGCCAAAAGCTAAAGTAGATTTCACAAAATTCACTTTCAATTCATATACACATCGTCCATAATTGCAAGGAACATAAAATAATGACACAAAATCTCAACCAATAATCAAACATATATTCATAGTAGATGTATAATAACCTATAGTTCTGTTATAATCAATTTTCGATAAGCACCAAATTCAAGAGAACATACATGCGATAGAAGGCATCATCGTTCAATTTTTACTATTAGTTACAACATTTCTAAACTAAATTAGCAATTTCTGTGTAGATTTGGATAGCTTAGCTGTTACAACATACTGGAGTAATGCTACAGAAGTACTCGACTTTAAAAAGGATTAGTCCACCTAAAAAAGCAGAAATTTTTGTTTCAAGTTATGATCAAAAAAAACAAAGAACAATTATACATATGTGTAATTCACAGTAATTAAGACATCGCCTTTTTTATTGTGGTGTACTTTGGATCAGAAGTATATGAGAACATGAGCAAGTCAGTCATGTTGGTTGATGATATACACGACGACTCACATGGATTACTAAGATCTTGGAAATACTCAATCCTTTTTAGCATAATCTATATAACAGTTTTAAGTCTTAGATGTAATGCATACATTAAAAACATTAATTCTCATCGAGAATTTAGGTCACTTACAAACATTGTAGTGATGTTGTTGTTCCAATCGAAAACACCTTCATCAGAAGCTACATATTCCTTTACAGCCAAGGCAAAGTTCTTTGTTGCATACTTGAGGTAACTTTTCTTACCTGTAGAAACAAATGTATGTTGCAGAATATTAGATTAAATAATAAGTAGAACATTTGGTACTCTTAGTGAAACAAAAGAATGTGAAATATTAGAAGATTTTACGAACAATATGTTGCCTTTATTGCTCCAGATGAATTCACTCCAACCACACATACATAGTTGCATAAAAATATGGCAACACTTACTACAACCATCCTAACGACTACTGATGTTGAAAGTCCATCAGCACGAACAACTATCTACATCAGAAACATCTCAAGCGAATTTATATAACAAAGGACCTTAGTATTGCTCCTGTTGACATTATTTTGAGAAGTAAAAAAAAAAAGAACCCGCAAAGCATCTCGAGCAAACCGTGTTGCTACACTTGATACTTGAGCATTAGCACGTAGTGACACCCATATTCCAATGTGTCGAGTAGAAACAATGATATAAGGTTTATTGTCTGTATTTTTGTTTGTTGCAGGAAAATCAAGAAGAAGAAAAAATCCTTAGGTTTGTTTAGACTGCATAGCGAAAAAAAAAACTTACACCGTTTGCTCTGATCTTTGTCCTTTATCTGAGTTTTTATAGCTATGAGAAATTCCCTTTTCTTTTTCACTTTGATAGCTCCAGCATACATGTCCTTAATCACCCTAATATAGTCAACCGGGACCCCTTTATCCTCTA